CAATGCTCGGGAATATCACCAGTTAATTCAACCCACCAGTTAAACCGAGACACCGGCATAGATGGGGTGATGGTAATCGATATATTTCTTATATTTAACACCATCGGGGTAAACTAGAGGATTCTAACAATCTCTAAACACCTTCGCCTCTCTTAATCTGTGCGCCAATGTCGACTGCATTTTTCTCGACAAGATTGCTGGCGCAGAAGATGTAACGTTAACGTTAACAGTTTATAGGTAACGCCGAGTTAACCACTAACATAACCTGTTTGGAGAAGTTTTGACGTGGAGCGTTAATTACTACGACAACATACCTCGGATTAAATTTCTTCACCTTTTCTAATACGAATTTATTGACGCTACCCTAGTAGCGATTAGTTTTTTACTCTCTCAAATGTTTTCTCGTCAATACCTCCTTAGTTTTTTTTTGCTTCCTCACTAAACACAACATATGATACGTGGCCTCATTCGTGATATTACTGGGATACATTTGGTGTAACGTTAAACATTTGTGAGATCACGAAAATACCTTTGAAGATGCAAGCTGCGGGAAATTCTATCACGTTAAATGTAATCTAACGTTAATTAGCTAACTGCTAGCGTTAACTTAACTCCCTAGCTTCCTCGCTTTTACCTTATGGTAACTTTTAGCTACGGCCTCATATTAACTCGGCCTTTTTATAAGTTCCCTGAACCAATAAGGTATTGTAAACGTACCTGTGGAGCTGAACAGTATTCCCGAATTTTATATTTATTTAATAAAATACTGGAAATGGAACTAAGGGGTTGTATTACGCCGAGCTGCCACCACACACAAAAGCGTCCCACTGAAAATCAAACGACGCCTGTTCACCAGCTCAACCAACCAGCTTGGAACAAGTGGGCGGGGCAAACTCTGGGAGGGCTTGGTGAAAAATATCAACACTCGCTGAATGGGCGGGGTTGTAAGCAACAGAATACACATTACAGGGTTCGGTGAAGGTGGTAGGATATGGGTAGGATTTGAAACCAGACTGAAACGCACCGTGAAGCTGTATAAAAACAGAAGGAAGCCGATTGGAAGTCTGTTCAAAAAGCCAATCAGGTACATTTTTACCAGAGCAGGGGCGGAGCCAGATGTTGTAAACATTCCGGGCTTATGGCGTTTTTCCACGTTTTGCCTTGGTTGGACTCCGGTTATTTTGTTATTTAAATGCTTTTATTATGAAGCAGCAAAACCAGGAAGTTTGGGGTTTTCATCAGCAGTAACATAACACGATTCCTGCTGAAAGCGAACATGAAACAGTAAAATAAAGCAGAGTATAAACAGGGACGCAGTAGAGAAACTAAACTTCAAACCACAGAAGTTCAACCTAGGGCAGCTTATTGACATATATAAAGATTTTATATGTCTATAGGACACCTATGTGCACGATTTTCAAGCCAGTTGAGATAATAGAATGCCTAAAAATCAGTACATCATTTGGGGAAAACATGATAACTGCCCAGGAAAAAATTACTCCAACTGTCTTCATCTTTATGAAACCAGAACATAACAAACCTAAAAAGTGACAGGATTGTCTGATATAATTTTTAAGAACATAATATAGGTAGGGTTGGAATTTGGCATTACTAATCTTGAAAACTATTTTTGTTAAACAATGTTGGAGTAGAATTCACTGAATGAAATAGAGCTCGATTGATATATTGGTCAGCTGACATTAGACATATCAGTATCTGCGTATCATGTTATGTAGAACTGTTTTCTGGTGGTAACATGTTGGCATCACTGCAAAGTATATCCATGATGATTTACAATAATGTAGCATTCAGCACATAGTAAGAGAGAAGTAGCTCTCAGCAACATCAAGTAGAATTGGTTGACACGGTATATGTTAAATTATTTAACATGTTAAAGGATATTTAACTTCAATATTCTTTGATAAAGAAAGCAGCCTTTGGGGTACCTTTGTAGAGACTCTCCACATAGAAAAGGTCTGGCCAGGTCTTCTTGATTATACGGTGTGTAAGAAAACTTATAAAAAAATATACACATAAGGCCTGTATCTCAGTATTTCGTTGAATACAATATACATAATATATATATATACATAATACAGAATTAAGAACTGTATAAAAAAGGTACAGATCATCTAACAAATGACTAACAGATAACAAATAACCTATTCCACCAGGAGTATTTTATTGTGTTTTATTCAGTGTCCATGATCTGAACAGATTCGTCGACCACATCCAGAGAAAGTGGAGTTATAGTTTTGGTCAGGATGGCCGTGGTGCCAGGCTTATACCTGTATTGTCCCTCTCTGAAAAAAAGACAGACAAGGAAAAGAAAAAAATCTGTGTTATGGTTGTATGCCAAAACCTCAGGCCATAAATGTACTTTTTATGCAGTTCTAAGCTATATCTTTATGATACAATTTTCAGATCTTCTTTTTTAGACATTATTAACTATGGAACTGCTTTATCTGTGGATTATTGGGCTTCCGGTAGAAACCTCTCAAGCTGACTGCAACTCCCATGATCCCAGGCTCCCACTTTACTTCACAACATCATCAAACTTCCATCTTTTGACATTGTTTAGGTGTGAGCGACCCCCTAGCAGCAGAAACAAACTGTGATGCACAGATCTTTGCATCTCTTTTGAAGAGAGTGGAGTCTCAGACTAATAACATAGAGCTGGAATTCAGCATAATAGGTCACCTTTTTAAGAGAAAGGAACTGGAAGACAAGTGACTCTGATAAAAGGTACACATATAATGGCACACCTTTTTCCCTTCATCGTGGGCTTGTCGTAGCCTCGCAGGTACTCCACCCCAGCTTCAGTGATAACACACAAGTCCACGTTGCTTCCTGAACCCAGGTCACAGAAAATCCCTGCAGCAATGGCGTCATTTACGAGCTGCTTTGCCTCCTCCAGCTGAAAGGAGGAACAAGTGATTCTTATGTACAGTTTCATTTTCAGGGCCAGAAAGGCTGTTGGTTGTACTGCAATTCAGCCTTTTACCTCTTGAAATCCAACAAAAGCACTTACAATCCACATTTAATCATGTCTTACATTACCAAGCAAACTATACACTGCCAGTGAGGTATTGCAACCTTAATACAGTGTAACAAACTGACTATATATAGATGGAGAAAACAATGTTGTTTTTTTTTACACATATTAGATTAGAGTAGACTTTTTTGTGCTATAATATAGTAAAAAAAAATTCAGGTGACTCAGTGTGGACGTTATCTAAGTGGTACTGTGCTAACACCAATCAGCACTACTGTAAAACCTAAATACTTTAAAAACTCAATCAGACTATCATGCTGTTGATCTAATTTTGGCGCTAATAAATTTAAGGTTTCTCATGAAGGTCATGGAGAGACTGGTCCTGGCACACCTCAGACCATTAGTGTGCGCATCGCAAGACCCCCTGCAGTTCGCATATCAGCCCCATGTGGGGGTTGATGATGCAATCATCTACCTGTTGCAGAAGACCCTGCCATTCTCAGCCTGCTTCACCAGAACTCAGAACCGTCATTGTACCACTGTACAGTGGTGTGACGAGAACTATCTCATCATTAACATTAAAAAAACTGAGTAGATGGTGTTTGACCCTTGTTCGGTGGGGGATCATACTCCACTGTCCATACACAGGGAGGAGATCAAACAGGTCACATCTTATAGGTATCTGGGTTTCCACTTGGATAACCTCTTCAGCTGGTGTGATCATGTAGATTATGTATGTT